TGTGTATAAGAGACAGTATATATATATATATATATTTGTAAACCAACGATTTCAGCCTACGGGCTGCCTGTTTTGGTGTTATATTTTTATACCATGAATAAATAAATATATTATAATTTTCAAATACAGGTGATAATGTTATACCTGCACATTCGAGGGTGATAATTACGGTACTTTGTCATTATTGAAGTATATGTAGGCCTACAGTAAGACAACGTCTGTAACAATTCTATAAAACGCATGACAAATTTTTGTGAGCTGGTATACAGGATTTTTCCTAAGATGTTTGGTTCTGTGTTGAGGTGTAAATCATTTAAATAAAGAATTAGGTTTTTAGGTCGGAATATGGGGGTGACACCTGAAATGAGGAAAAAATAGTAAATGGAGAGGAAATGTCTTAGATAAGGAAAGTGCTGAAAGTATTAGACACATTACCGGTATTAGGTACAGTTCATATTCACTAGTGAATAGTCGTCAGACGATATCGATCAGCGACCTGCTTCAACCGAAGTTCCAGCAACATTTTAACTGTAAATATTTTTTGTTTTAATTTTGTTTTGTGACTATAAAAAGTACTACAATAGTAACAGCTAACAAGTAATTAAGATTTTATATTAAAATGTATTGGCTATAGCATTGGTTTATTCTTTTTGAAAATATCTTTGATATCCGTTGTTCCAACACGCCGTGTTGACGTATCTAATCGACGTGTTCTAAGTTACAAAGTGTATGCTTAATTAAATGATTTTATTATTATTATTAATATTATTGCCTACTATTATTATTATCATTATACTTATTGCATTTGAAAATTGCCAATTTAAAATCAGCTATAATTTCGACAATGCGATTACTTTACTCTCTAGATAAATTAATAAATTACCATATTAACATAGTTGATGTATATTTTAAAGCTATAAACGGTTCTTGTTTGTTTGGCTCTCTTCAAATGTATTGACCTTTGAAATACTTTGATGTTCAATGAAATTTTAGACAGGTTTGAAATAAATACATCACCAATCGTCACCCAGAAGTCATAAACCATATTTCCTATATTTAAGAACTAGATCCATCAGGTATTTTTTTTTATCATAATGTAATTTACAAGATAACTAACTACTACCAGTGATCACCATCACAGGTATTGAAACTCCTGAATGACGACATTATTAGAGACGATCTATCTAGGTTAATTTATATGTGAGCGGCGGGGGCGTTTCTACTAGAGCGATATTCGTCCATAAAAACAGCTGAATTGTGAGATCGCACAATCAGTAAGGCCTACGGTAGTCAAGGTTGGATGCAGGAAAGAGAGCGCGCGAGATAGATCATCCCATCGCCTGCAATTTTTGCAACTACCATCCACTTTTTCTAGCTGTTCACATTTTCTGTTGGTGAAGTCGTTTTAGTTTTGTTAACTTGACTGTGTTAAGATGATTGTGGGTGCTCTGGTATTTGTGTTCCTCATCATCCAGGATGTCTACAGCATGCCAAATACTCGAAGAGAGGTGAGATAGCTACTTAGATTTTGCATTTTGTTTAAATATTTTAAGTTAATAACCTCTACAAAAACATATATAGACCTTCATTCGTTTGCTTATGTTTTTCTAAGGCTACCTCATATTGGCGAAGTAGCAATATTTGCTTGGCACGCATTGCGTGTGCACTTTGCCAAGACTTCTAGGCTATTTTTGTCTTTCTTGACCCGGAAATTTAAATAGGTACCTGGTCGGATGTAAATAATTTGGATCGAATGTTTTGGTACTGAATTACATGATTGCATGACTAGGAATATTATCCAAGGAACGAAGGAAGTTGCAATATTATGTGATTGACTCTGTACCCTAATACCTATATATTAAATCATACAAAGCACTATATGTGAGTACCTTAAAATAAATAATAAATAAATACGATCCTAAAAATCACGTTAGGCACAGTGGCCAATCGAGGCACTGGTAAAAGTAAAAACGCTGATTCGGTATGTGGTGGGGGTGGGGGTGAAAAAATAACAAACTCCACACTCAATAGTCACTCTCTATTTTAACTGTTCTCTGGTAATAACATTCGTTAAAGTTGTACTCAGCAAAATATGTTTATATATGTGTCTCATTCTTAGACGATTATTATTATTATTATTATTATTATTATTGTTATTACTATTATTATTATTATCATTATTATTATTACTTTTATTATTATTACTTATGTTTCTTGGAAAGAAACCTGAAACCTCATTCAATAAATCGTTATAATGCGCAATTCCAACATTCATTGCTTGTGGCACCGTTAAACTGAAAGCAACAAATGCAACTTGAGTGATTTTAATGTTTGAGCGATAACAAATTTAATTCAGATCAATTATTATTCCAACACTTCTGCAGTGAAGACAGAGGATCCTATCTTCCAGCTGTATTCTGTTTGCTCCACAAACTCTCGGAGTTGGTTTACTGGCGCATAAGATGAAAACATTCAGCATCGGTGATACTTAATATATTATTGTCAGTGTATTTTGTTCCTTTGGTCGTTCTATGCTCACTCCTTATGCTGAAATCCAACATATTTCTATCACTCATTAATATTTATAATAATAAACAAGTATTATTTATGTTTTTTTTTCTCGTTATTTAACTTTTCTGGTATACCGTATTTACCATTACGTTTAGTGTATCAACAAGCGAAATTCTGGATAATTAAGTAATATCGTATCGTATCCCTGAGATGTTTAACAATTGTTGTAATTAGCTATGTAGGTCTTAGTTTTCGTCTTTCCTCATTGCTATTTAATAGACTACCGGGGCGCGTGTGGTCAATCATCAGTAAACCAACAAGATTTGCTCACGTGGTTCATTCAGTAAGAAATCAAACTAGGCATTTCAGAATCAGAAGTAACGTTTATATTCCAGGTATGCTTCAAGAATACCTAATCTCATCCTCACTTCAACAAAAACGCTCTACTTATAATGTAGTAGGCATAAGTAGAACGACCGTAAAGTAATGTCACACTTATGATAGTAAAGGGTGTTCTATAAACATGTCTGGAATAAAAGCGGTTGTTTCGTTTCAGAAATGTCTAGTTGTTTTCTTTCTATTTTGGTAGCAAGTTAATACTTATTTTTCTACTATATTATTATTTTATTTAGCCATCATTTGAAAAAATGATACCTGCCCATCTCATAGGCGCAAGGTCTATTCGATGTTGTGTCTTCTTACTCTACTATTTACATACTATACTTTACCTATTATAATTTAAAGATGGTTACCTACACTTATTTTCCCTTTCCTGCTTAACTTTGTTTTCTTCCTCGATTTATTACCAATCTTCTGATTCCTTGGTAACAGTTTTCCATTAATTTTGTTTAATTCTTTCTTCTACTTTTTTTGCTTTTTTTCCTAGTAATTAAATTTTTATCTATTAATCGACACTGCTAGGTCATATTGTAAACGATCATGCCTCTTTTTATAATGTAGATTGAAAAGTCAGAATTGAGCGAACTGCGAAAAAGAAGTGATGCTCCTCAATCCCAAAAAACACTTGGTAAGTGATTAATTATATGTGCACACCTTTATTATTACAAAAATCATAGCACGTATCAGACCCTACCTATCTATCTTTGTAGAAGTGGTTGGCGCATCGGTTGTGGTTTGGACTCCCAACCTTGAGGTCGGGGGTTAGAAACTCTCGCCGTGCAAGTCGCTTGTGTCCTTGGGCAAGGCACTTTATCTACGGTTGTCTTTCTCCACCCAGGAGTAGGTACCTGGTAGGTTCAAACACAGCCTGCGCTGAATACAGCTGCAACATTATGGAATTCCCCCATGGGGCTTGAGTGTGTGTTCCATATGTGCTTGATCCAGTGATCCAGGGGTAATAATGTTCAAGCGCTTCGAGGTTGTGTCAACGTGAGGCGCTATATAAATCCAGAATTATTTATTATTACTATGAGAGAATTAATAATCTGCTGTAACCGAAATATTATAGGTAAAGTTTAAAACAGACAAATTATGTTAAATGAAACGGAACACCACACTTGTTAATACACTAATAACTTGGTGTGAATGAAAATAGGTTTATTGATAATTTTTTTTATGAAAACGACGACGATGACACAGAGTGTTACTGCTGCAGCTTCTATGGCCACGCCACCATCTCTACTACTGCTACCAGTACTAATTCATCTTCTCATTCTCTTTCACCTACCACATATTCTCCTCTTCTCCCACTTCGTTTTCTTCTTCTTCTCTCTTTCATCTCCGTTTCATTATCCTTCTTTTCCTTTGTCTTCCCTTCCTTTTCCTTTTCGCTCTTCCAGCTTTTTAATTTTTGTCATTCTCCTTCCTCCTATTTCTCAACCTCTTCCACTTCGTCTTCATCTACTACTTCTTCTGCATCCTATTTTTCTTTCTTTTCCTCTTCTTTTGTCTTCTTCTTCTCTTTCTTTTTCTTTTTGTTTACTATTCCAATAAAATATATGCTAATGCCACGATTTGTTAACATTTGTATGTTATTTATGGCGTAAATTTTCTTTAGATTGTTTTGATATGGTCGGCATTGAAGGGGAGTATCTATATATACCAACTGACAATGCGGACAGAACCATGCTTTGCACAGTTTATTTCATAGCAAATTCTATGGACGAGTTAGTAGACCTACGAATAAGAAACATCGACATGCCGTGCAACGAAGGAGGATTACAGGTAAGCTTTTGGTTAGGACAAGGACTTTCAAACTGTACAGTTGGTACTTGATTATTAGGCGCCCACATTCTAAAATCTGGAGTCCCTGGTTCAATATCAATACTTTTTTGATAACACACCAACGGAAATTCATGTACTGGACATTTTCTCATTTTTAAAATGGACACAATTTGTGGCGTATGACCTTGTCTTGTGAATTGTGTCTGCTTTCAGGATAATGTTACTTTCATTGCCAAGAAAAGGGATTGTTGAGCTTTTGTTCTGTAATTTCGTTAGAATTGTGTGTAATTTTGCAGGAATGATGATTGTAGTGTCATGAAATTTTGCGAGCCAAATTTTCGGATTTAGTGCAATCGTGTTAATATCGTTTTTCAATTGAATGAGATAGGTTGGTGAGTTGTGTTTGTCGCTTGTGTAGGCCTACCATATAATTGAGAAACCAAATTTGGGAATGCCGTTGGTCATGTTTCTGTGTCGTGCGAATGTCTTTTATGTCACGAGTATTTTGTCTTTTTATCGTGTGAAAATCCTAGTAAAATAATGTGAATGTCTGTATAACTTCAATTGCTTTTGATGTGATATAGAGAAGAGGGGATCCGTAAGTTGGTTTCTGACATCGGCTTGATTCCCTTTTTGGTAATTGGTTACTGTAATACGCCTATTTATTTATATTTGCTTCGTGATGGTTTTGCGCTTCATGGTGTGATTGTAGGCCACCGCAATCTCGTGCACAGTCTACTCCCACTTGGCCTAACAGTAGTTCCTATGGGCTTTGCTCAGAATATATGCAAAGTCATCTGCTACATATGTTATACATTATATTATGTAGGCAGGCCTATTTTCACCCGCTGTCAAGAAAAGGCACGCGAGTCCACAGTTCAGTTTTTACAAAAAAAATCTAAGCATTATTTATTCAATAATACAAATAGTTATGATGATTATTAATTAAACCATTGTTTAGATGTTCGATGGATGGAATCTTGGAGGCGATGTGTTTCCTTCTGCTGATGAGCACGACTATCCTATGGAAGATCGACAATTCGAGACTTGCGGAGAAGATTCAGAAGGCGTCTTTATATCTTCACAAAATGTGGCAATGATATCATTTCCAAATAGTGGCCGCTTTCAACTATTTTTTCGAGCAAAGAAAAACTCAAGACGTGAGTACAAATAGTGCCCTCATTACCATGCACTTTCGCCCTAAATCAACTTCTCTTATCCAAACTAGCCCCCTCATTTTTTTTTCTTTTTATGAAACTTTAATTCAATAAAGAATGCACAACTGCATATTTAATATTGCATCTTGAACTGAATTTATACATAATCTAAAGCCTAGCTCCGGACTTGAGGGATTTAAAATTTAAAAAAAATCTGTATCTTATTACACGTCATGCTGAGTTTGGGGTTCAAAACAATATTATTAAATCATGGGTTTTTTTACCGATAACTTCTCAAAGGCCACTTGTACCTAGACAAATCAAAGGTTGGTGATATCATTGATATGAATGCAGTAACTATAGGCCGATTACTCCACCCTAAGTAAATAGAGATTATTTTATTTTTATTATTTATTTACTAGAAATAATTTATTTAATTTTTCAGGTTGCAATTTTAACACCGATTACTGGGATTTTGCCTTTAAGGCTAGACACTTCACTGAGTACTTCCACATATTTTGGCTCAAGTGTAATATTTAGCATTATCCTCGTAATGACAGTCCAATATGTTGTTGATTTCTTGATGCTTCCGAAAGTTTTCAACAGAGTGAACCACTGGACCTTTTTCTAAAAGCTAATTGACAAGTGTGTATCTCCATCATAGTTAAATATCTGAAATAGGTCTATTGGTATCAGATCCACAAATTTGCTGTGAGATGGGGGCCGTAGTGTTTTTGATTTTTTTTACCGTTAGAAATATAGCCAGGCAAGAAGTGTTATATCTACAGTTTTATATAGTATTTTGTATTTGTGATTTAAATATGCAATTGACATGACACGTTAGTAATGTCTCCATCTGAAAGTGGATTTCTTATTTCTTAGACCATTTAGACATGCAACTAATTGCAATATTTTATGCAATGCAAACAAGTCTGAGTTATGTTATGTCCGCGTATTCTTGGCGGACACTCCAATCTCTTTTCCCAATGGGATTAATCGTGACTATGTTGAGGATGTTTAATATTTATGATGTGTATGAAAATTAAAAATGATGGGATGAATTTAAACGAAAAAATTTCTAAAAGTAATCATAGCACTTAGGTTCGTGTTTCTATTCCTAAGTATGTTTAAGTAAATTATTAGAAATTGTCTTGCTTTAACCTTTCAATTGTTGTTTGTGTGTTACGGTATTTTGTACAAGAGACAGATGTTTAACACATTAATTAGTTGTAGCACTTACAGGCGCTTCCTTTCTCGTGTATCTGTTAGCTTGCCATGCGATTGCACCAGACTCGAGTGGTGAGTACAATTTACTGAACTACGGAGAAAGACGAAACTGTTCACTTTTTGTCATCTACCCTGTAAAGATGAGCGTTATCCAGATGTCGGTTGGTGATCCAACTACGGAAACAAAATTAAAGGTAAAGTTTGCACAATTTTATTTTTGTATGAAATTATGCGCCATAAAAATGCAAATTTTGATTGTCTTTATACCTTTTTCATTTATTAATGTTGTTGGTTAAACATTATTAAAGCTCTAAAAGATATTATGTACCTTGTATAATATCACTTAGGCCTATTGTCAGTGGTTAAATTTGGAAAATCATTAAAAAAATATATTGAAACTTTTTACAGTTCGTAATTTAAAAGCACCAAATAAGTTTACATCTTTACACCATATCCGGTGATAGTAGTTTTTGTACCGCTTTTGCCACTCCTCAGCCCTCCTCTTTCTTTATTGATTTTGTTGTTGTTAATACTGGCTGAAAGGAATAAAATAAAATAAAATCTTTCAATGAAACACATGTTTAAAGAGTATTGTTTTATCTGACATTTTACTTCGGAAATTCTGTTGATTACCAGTCAACGTAAAATGTCTATGTGAGGAGTTAGGAACGGTGTGTCCGTAAATTAGGAGAAAAATTACTTTCTTGTTTTAATTATCTATTGAAAGTTATTTAACTTTAAAAACTAAACAAAATAAGCAATTTTAATTATTTTAAATGTTGAAGATTGTTTTATCTCATCATGAATAATAAATATAATAAATGAATTAAAATATAATGAAAACTTGTTTTCATCACAGTGCTTCAATGAGCCTGATCAGTTGCAGTTTCTGGAAGGAAATGGATTTGATCACGCCCTCATGCAGACAGAGCAAGTACTGTGTGGATCTACGGAAATGGTTGAAGTAGAGCAGGTGAGAGTGAATAATATCATAATGATCATAATGATCATTCTATAATTGTATTTTTCTGACTTCCTTAGGTATATAGTATTATACGTGTGCTGGTGTTTCATTAAATAGCTCTTCTGTCCATTCTCTTCCCCATAGGAGTACGAGTCTGTTTCGAGGGACACGAGTAATACTACTTTTGTGTGTAATCGAGGTGAGAATAAACTGGAACAAATATAATAATAACTTAAACATTTGTAAAATCTCTAAAGTACGAGAAGCTAGCGCTTCCTGTAATCTAGAAAAGTCCACAACCCATTCATGGTGCAATTGGCATTATAGCGCGTACTGAATGAAAGTAAGTACGTAGTACTGTATAGTAAGAACTGAGTTTTCCGAGTTATTATTTAAAGTTAATATTAAATATTATAATTGTTTACATATTTTACTTCACAGTTGGTCTTTCGATCCCACTTCAATGTCAAAGTTCAGCAGTGAGACTCATCTCAAGTGGTGAAACTGAAAACCATGTTCGTGTCAAGTTTTCAAAGATCACGTCATCAGTTAATGAATGCGTTTAAGTTGAGCAAAAAGTTTGCAAAAACGTACCGATTGGGGGTGGGCTTCAAATGGCCTTTCGAATCGATCTTTGGTCATATTCATTTGTAAATATAGTTTGTATTAATGTGACCGCAAACTGTAGATTGTTTTATAATATTGAATTTACAGAGGAAAGTATATAAGCCAATGTGTAATTAAATAAAATAACTAGTAAAAATAGAAAGAAACGTGGCAAATGTATATATAAACAAATAAGCAGTTAAATGGCCAAAATACTACCAAATTTCAGCTAATTACTGTGAACTTTTACATGCGATATTTATCGTAAGGTTACCGTATGTGTCTACTAAGGTTCGTTGTCCATTAATACAAAATATGATAGATAACGAATTAAATTTAATAAATTATTTTGTCAATGTATATATTTATGAAGGTATATAAGATTGTAAAGTTAATGAAAATTATACTAAAATGGGGAAACGTTATATTCAAATTGAAGAACACATTTTGTGGGATCTGTCCTTTGACTTTTCCATCTTCATAATATATTGTGAAAGGTGCGACCGAAACTGTCATGTAAGTTTCAAAAAACCTTTAGTCAATACATTAAAGAACCTTTCACAGTATATTCAACTAAAGACTAGATGAAATTCTTCCAAGCATCTTCATACTATTGTATTACTATTTTGTCACCATATTACATCATCGATGACGTAATGTAGACCACTGGCTTCACAGTAGAACTATACCAACGTCATTCAGCTACAAAATGTCCGACCATAGAGATATCATAGCGATATACCTTCACTTTCAAAGATAGTAAACTGAAATCTACTGGTGAAAAAATATATTTATTGGCTTAATTATATTCTGCCAACCAAACAAATCTAGAAAAAATCTAAGTAAAAAAACATTTACATTATGCTATCAACTTTTAGTAAGTCATTGTTTTACATTGTGAATTCTTAGCCATTCCGACCCTCTTAATGTTATTGATCTAGTGCCAGTCGTAGTGGTAATAATAATAGTAAGTAAATGAACAAATTTTTGTTACGATACGAGGCCAGAGAGTGCAGTGGGTGAGTAATAAAATTTGTTCATTTACTTATTATTATAATTATTACCACTACGACTGACACTAGATCAATAACAATAAGAGGGTCGGAATGGCTAAGAATAAGCAATGTAAAACAATGTCGATAATGACCCTGAAAAGGCTTAACCAACTCTGTAATAGCATGAAAGTATTTTAGTAAGTCACAGATCGAAAATAAAATCATGTTCAATGATTCCTTGAGTTTTTACTGACAGAATTCTTAAATTACTGGTAGAGATTCTAGGGTATTATGAGAATGAGAATTATGAGAGTTCTAATGGGCTTCTGCAGACCTATTGTCACAAGCATTCCAATAGGCCTACAGGAGTATTAAAAAATAAATGCACACTCTTTGCTCACAGGTTAGTGTGATAATCACTCAAAGATATAGAATGGTAAAACACAATTGCGTATTTTGACGGGGAGGGGTTATTTGGGACTCGAGGTGACTTTTGAACTACTTTAGTGTAACTTAGCTTAGCAAATTTCAGTTGTGGTGTTGGGGTGCCCTGGGGAGCTCAATGTTTTTTTAAAGTGTCATACCCTCTTTTACATAGATACTTCACTGAAAAAACCCCTACAGGGCCAACGCAATAAAAGACCAGTTGAAATGGAACTATTAATCATTACGTCTAACCAACTTCAATCTGTAGGCCTAATGCACTCAATATATCATTTACTTTTTGATATCTGTACCCCTTTTTTAGTCTAAAAGTGGTTCACCAAACTACTTTCCTTATCACGCATTATTTTATTCTGTCGCCACACGAATTGATAAACAAACAACGGAGTACTGACGTCTATTAGATAAGACGAAATGGGACCATATAAAGGAAATTTTAGGCCCCTGAGAAGGCTGTCAAGTATCCATAGTGCCACTGTAAACCCCAACGGAATTAAACATCGTACCGGCGTGGTGGCATTTAGGTAAGTCAATGCTGATGTTAGGATATGGGTCACCGATGGGAAGAGAGAAAATGTCCTACGGTCCTCTCTCAGAAATATTACGGTCTCAAGCCATAATTCTACTACTCTACTACTACTGCTGCTGCTGCTGCTGCTACTGCTACTACTACTACTACCACTACTACTACTACTTCTACTATTACTACTACTATACTACTAATAATAATGTTACTGCTACTACTACTGCTACTACTCTTGTTTCTCCTTACTGTTTAAAAAAATATATTTTATTGCTTTGCAATAATTTTGTTTATATTATGTCATGTCATGTTTTTTGTATTTATTTATTTACATATACAATATGTTGTTTCTTTGCGACATTACCGATTTTAATGTTTAATATTATTCTGTAAAATGTTGGAATCAGAATAACGTAAAATAAAATCGCTACTACTGTACAACTAATACTATTACTAATAGGCATTATATATAACAATAATGATAATGCTGCAATTTTGATGTTTTTTTGAATAAATAAATAAAAAAAGAAATCATTATGAAAATAGTTAATAATTTGAGGAAACTCGTTTTCACCAGGAGTATAATATTTCATTGAATATTGATCCAAAATCTAGAGCAACAACATCAACAACAGTAACAACAACAACATTAACAACAATAACAGTAATAATAATTTAATGTGATGAAAAATTGACTTTGTAAAAGTAAAGATGACTTTTTTTTTCTTTTGTAACTGTCTAAATTTTAAAAACAATTTTAAAAAAGAACATGTCTTCGTAAGCATCTAACCCCGTTAGCCTAGGTCAATCGTCAATGTAAGTCTTATGGGACCCCAGCTTCGCTTTTAAACTCATCAATGGGAGATCGCTTAACTATCAGTTTCAAACGCGTCAATAAGTTTTCTAGACATTATTGAAGTTATACGTGTTAACCTAGTATGGGATGCCAGGTTGGAGCTCACACGTATCAATCAGAACTTGCTACATTATGAAAATTTAAGCGTTTATCTAAAAAAAACAGCTGTCCGACAGATTTCAGCTACAATAAACTCCAAATAAAAGTAACATAATCTTCGACACCTTCATCTTTATTATAAATCATATATCTTTTCTGCAGAAGTTGACTATAATTAAAAAACAATAACAAAGAGGGAAATATAGGCTTGGATGTCTTCTTGTCGATTTTCACCCTTCCCTCTAAAAGTGCTTGTCACGGGACTGTTTGTTCCCACTCACGTGGTTTTATTTTCGTTATATTGGCTAATACGGACCCTAACCAATAAGTATTGAATGTCACAATAGGTGTCGGATTACGGTTTTACATTGTACACAAGTCAGGGGATTTATTTTGAGAGGAAGATGTGTCCCAGATGACATTTACCCCTGTCGGTGTATGTGATGCCCACTTACCTGGCGAGCAGGTGGTTTGGACAATGATAAATAAGATTGACGTGTGTTCAAGAGATGAATGAAGGTTTACTGTAATGATAAAATTATTTTTTTCCCATTTCTTTCACATCCTACAGCACACAACTAGCCAATTATAGGATAGAATGATGCTTTAGAAACTAAGGTTCTATATGAAGCTAGTGGAGCTGTTTTAGACGTGAGAAAAATAATCCCTGTAGTGACAGGGTTTCAACACAAGTTTCTTATCCACCAATCCATTGGGCTTCAATTCATTGCACTATACTATATTTAGCTTTAAAAGTTTTTTCATCAGATAAATGGAGGATGCATGCCATATCGCCTCAATCTCCTCGTTGCATTACTACGACTCTAGCGTATTATAATTTAAAAAAAAAGAGGTGGGGTACCGTTGTTGATCAGGCCCATAAGAAGTATTACTCTCCAATAGAACCCCTATTCTTAACACCTGGTCTGACCGGCGTCGCAGACACTTCGGCCCCCATAAATTTACACCTTCCCTAGGAGTATTTCATAATGAATTAGGCCCACATACGGACTTCGACATATGGGTTAGAAAATTCAACGCAAAATTTATTATGAAAGTTACGTAGGGCCTATGGAAGTGGGGGCGAGGCGCGAAAGCCCAGTGACACCGACCTATGACCCTTCATTAGGATAAAATAAGGTCTTTGTATACAAACATGTACATCGATATCAGGTTTACGGAGGAGGAGGAGGATGACGTATGTCTATATAAAGAGATTTTGCAATACCTGCTTGGATGAGGGTAAAATCTATGTGAAAGACTGTCGGTGTAAAGTTGGTTGGGTGGCAACAGGCCAAATTGCAACAAGCCGAAACCCACGTTTTATTGTCGGTGTGTGTTTTCACTTGCTGTCATGATTGTAATGTCATCTGTGTTTGATTTAGTGTTTGAATAGATAGGATATTAAAGGAAACAGTTCGAATGCAACTTGCGCAACTAAAGATAACATTATCTGCTCCGTTTTTCTCAAGAGAAGGGGACTTTGACACCGTCCCACAGATCACAATAGGGCTATCTGACAAACAAACTACAATGCCGCCCTCTGTAGTACAGAAACTTTTCCTGAAGCTTCTAATCTGTACAGACCTGTTCTTAAGTAACTTCAATGATAGCAACATGTGCTTTTAATCATTATCATGATGTTCCCCATCTTGTTATCCCGGGGGTGGTCGGGTCAGTGTGTAGTGACAATGTGTTCCCTTATCAATCATAGTTAATCAGAAGGTCAAATTTAAGGCCAGTGTAGGCTTCAAATTATGTAAACAATCTCAACAAGTGTTCGATTCAATGAAACCATTCAGATATGAGAGAACAAGTATAAAAATACAAGATTGCGGATTGTTGTACTATATATTAAAAAAGTACAGTGAATTAATTGAATTAGTCCTAATCAATTTACCAGTAAACTTGAATTTGTGATGCAATGCAACGCTTAACCAGGTACCGGTATACAGTATATCCTTTAGCGTTTATACTATTGGTTCAAGTGGAACTAACTTTAGGTGGTTAAGTACACAAAATCGGGTTATATTTTAAAGTTTTTAAAAATATCTTAATTTATTCCTAATATTTTACTCTGTACTCCAATATGTCGGTCTCTGTCTAGGCTCATTGCCTGTTATTTTATTACTTACACATTTTACGTACTGGTTTTGCTGCATTATTGTATTATATTTTACTCTTTTAGATAGGCCTATATTATAATGAAAATCATATATCTTTATATTTGTACAATGTTGGTAAACCTTTGTTCTGTTGGTTTTCTCTTTATTTTATACAACTTTATTAATATTTAATACGGAATAAATGAGATTAGAATATAACATTTTTTAGTTTAGATTGATTACACTGTTATAAATTGCGAATCAGCCTGCAATCACTGTAAAAACAGCGTGGAGGATTTAAGCACAGAGCTCCACGCAATGTTGTCCCGTTTTTGGTGACACGTTTAAAAGCTAAACGTGTTTAGATAATCCTGTATCTTAATGTATCATTTAAATATGCTTAGGTTGACATCATAATGTCAAATACCTAAACACATCTAATGCTAAACACTTCAAGATCCTAAGCACATCATGCCTGGCATAAACACACGTGCTCTATTAAAAACCCATCCCAATAAAAGTAGTATTAAGCCTGACTTGCGTTATATTAACGGGCAAAAGTGGGTCTCATGGAAAGGATTTTAAGGTGTAGGCCTATTTGTTGTTAATCATATTTAAGCATAACTATACGTTAGTGAGTTAGATCTGTGCCGAATTATCCCTTGCAAACATTTTTGATAATAATAAACTGTCAAAAAGCATTCTGAAGCTTTGTCCACATTATCAAATTTTCTTTGCTGTTGTATGCCCATATATAGTCATGATGTGCCCATATATAGTCATGATGTGCCCATATATAGTCATGATGTGCCTATATATAGTCATGATGTGCCTATATATAGTCATGATGTGCCTATATATAGTCATGATGTGCCTATATATAGTCATGATGTGCCTATATATAGTCATGATGTGCTATAGAGAATGGATAGGTTTTATATAGAGAAATAATTCTTGGATCCAATTTTCTATAGAAGTCTATAAAAACTCATAAATGTCTATAGACTTTCTATAGAATTCTATAAAACATTTTACTACGGGGACGTAATCATAAGTAAGATGTACAGTGGTATATCTGATGGGTAATTGTCTTTTAAAGAAGGATGGCTAACACTAATAATAATAAATATAATAATATCTTATCATAAAAATGGGAAAACAACAGCAGTCTGTGGGATATACGCATAGAATACCGTGATATCTTGCA